CGAAGATAGAAAGAATACACACTAGGCGTGAGCAAGACAGAAATAGTTGGAACAAGCTTGAACGAGCAGAGGTCTCGTTTGGCGGTCTTAGGAGATCGACTAGAAATGTACAGTACTAGACGAAAATGTTTAGCAATTTCTTAAAACAAAAATGTATATAAATTAACAATAGAAAACAAAGCAAAAGTTTTATAGGGGTGTAGAACGTTAAGTTAATTCAGTTGTTATTATTTTTGGCTAAATATGCCTTTAAATTTTAATGAGGCAGTTTTAATAATTTTGCTAATGGTACTGTACACTTTTGCCTAGTTCTCGCTCGATGATCGGTGGAGAAATGAGCTCCGCAGACAAATATGATTGAATTTGGAATTATGGTATGGCGCATTCTAATAAAGGGAAGGGGCGTATCTCTAACTTCTTGAAACGAACAGTAGACGCGTGGCGGCTAATTTCCGTTTTCAGTTGANGACGGTACCATCAGAAAATGGATTCAAATGTTCGAGAATAACAGTTCGACTGCAAAAATTTACAATCCAGGTCACCCGCGCTCTCACCGAACCCAACAAACGATTGAAGAAATGAAAGTGGCAGTGCGTGAAAATCCGTCTCAATCTGTTCGCAAACGCAGTCAAAAACTTGATATTAAAAAATCGGTCGTTACAGAAGATTCTAAAGCAAGATTTACATCTTACAGCCTACAAAATTTAGTTTGTTCAAAAACTGAACGTTACTGATTATCTTCTCCGTCTGAATTTTGCGAATGAAATGCTTCAACACTTTCCAACGTTTGAAAACATTCTGTTTAGTGACGAAGCGAACTTTAACTTAAATAGCCACGTAATCAAACAGAACTGTCGCTACTGGGCCAAAAAAATCCAAGACATAAACCTGAACAACCACTACATAGTCCAAAAGTTATTACGTGGGCTGTCATGTCTGGTATAGGCATCATTGAACCTTTCTTTGTTTGAAGACCAACGAGGGCGAACACTTACGGTAAACAGTGACCGGTATTGTTAAGAAACTTTTTGGTTCCACAACTGCAAGAGTTTGCTGGTTTTAATGTGGAAAGATGATTTCAACAAGATGGAGCCACTTGCCACATCTCAAACCAATCGCTTGCGATTGTCGATCAACTTTTCCCGGAAAAAGTAATATCTCGTCGAGGCACCATCAACTAGCCTCCGAGAAGGCCCGATCTCACACCTCCTGATTATTTGTTATGGGGATACCTTAAAGACAAGATGTATACAAACAATCAATGATCACTACTATAATTGAAGCGCAATATCCACACCGAAATGGCCGCCGTTTCCGCGTGGCGGTTAATTTCCATTTTCGGTTGGAGGAGTGCCAATATTAACAGAAAAGATTTTTTTTGACTTGCAGCTTTTTTTATTGAATTTAAAAACACCTCCTACCCTTTCTGGACACCTTNGATTGTGCCTCTTTGTCGCTCGTTCCGCGCTCTCGCTTGCACTTCAAGCCTTAAATGGAACGCCTCAGAGCGAGGTAACGCCGCATGAGTCATGTTTTTTCGTGCGTGCAGCCGGCTCCATCGAATTATAAGACGTTGTCACGTCAAAAAAAAACAAGAAATCAACAAAGCGTTACATACTTTCGCATAATTAGAAGTAAGTGGCTTTGCGTTCCTTCTTATGATTAGTTGCCTATAAACTAGTAGACCTTAAGTTTTTAGCATTAATACCGCATAAGATTGAAACAAATGAGTTAGTAATTTTCTGTAGAATTCCACCGAAACCATAGCTGTTTATGGATGAACTTTATTATGTCTTCGTGTGCTTTAATTTAAATTTGTAATCCTCTGGTTGATGTCTTTGTTATATCAAGTACTTTTTTTAAGTATTCCAGATTCGTTTTTAAAACTTAACGATAAGCGGTATTCTGTATTAAAGGTAATCGGATAGATACAACATGTTTAGCTTTATTGCAAACTCTTCTCATCGATCCCTTTGGGAATGAAAGTTTGGAAACGAGGGATCGAATTTCGATTATCTAGCTGCGGAATAAACAGAGAAAGTTCGATGAAATAATGTTTGAAATAATACCGGCTTTGAAAGTTATGACTGATCGACGAGGGTGTATTTAGGCGACTCGTTGGTGGCAGAGGAAAACGAGAAAGAAAATTACTTGTTGGAAAAACAATAAAGGAAATAAAAAGAAAACGACTTGAGAAAAACCGACTTCTTGATATTTTTTTTCGACATAAATTGTAACCATTTCAGTGACGGCTGCTGCATAAGGCCAAAAAGTATCCACCCTGTCTTATTTCTTCAAAATAAGGACATTTACAATATATTGTTTCCGTAATAATGTAGCACGTAACGCAAAAATTTTGAAAATAAGCAGTGTTGTCACAATAAGAGTTTCATTGGGACATCTCGAATGCAGAATCTTACAAATTTATAAAACTATGCTCCATGCTTTCATGTAAAATAACATTGGCAGTGTAAATACCAGTATATATGAATATTACAGTATGTTCACTCCTGACGTAAAATGACGCCGACTTCTGCAGGCGGTCATAAATCAACTTTATGTACGCTACAACGTAGAGAAGTAAATATTAGGAAAGGAGTCAGATAGGGATACTAACTGTCACCGCTACTTTTTAATCTATTCATCGTAGACGCGATCAACATAATTAAACACAGTACAACTGTACGGACAGATAATACAGGGGCAAAAGATTAGTATGCTTAGATTTTCAGATGATGTACCTAGCAGTATTAGCATCTAGCAATGAGGAGCTAGAGATAACTTTAAATAAAATGGAAGCGGTATTGACAAAATAGTACTGTAAGAAAATAAATAAAACTAAAATCAATATACTGGTATGCAAGGGAAGAAAAGGTGGGGAAAGTATAAAGCTAGGAGACGATAAATTAGAAGAAGTGGCCGAGTTTAGGTATCTAGGAAGTCAGATAAGTCAGGACGGAAAGAGTAGTAGGGATATAAAGCAGAGGATAGCGCACGGTGGACTCGTCTTCAATAAAAAGAAGTCACTTCTATGCTCGGTTAATTTAGAAATTTGAAAAAGATTGTTAAAGGTGTATGTTTGGAGCACGGCGCTGTATGGGTGCGAAACATGGACAGTGGACGTGGCGGAAAAGAAAAAGAGTTAGAAGCGTTCGAAATGTGGTGTTACAGACGAATGATGATGATACTGTGGATAGAAAAGGTTACAAATTAAGAGGTATTAGAAATAGTAGGAAAACAGAGGACTCTATGGAAGTCGATAAAAAATAGGCGAGATAGGTTAGCAGGACACCTTCTCAGGCATGAAGATCTAGTCAGAGACATATTAGAGCCAGAAGCGGAAGTTAGGAGGGTAGAGGTGGACCTAGATTAGATTACAGTTCGCAGATAGTTAAGGATATGTGTTGTTCTAGTTTTAAGGAAATGCGAAAGGAAATAGTGGAGGTACGTGTCCAGCCAGCCTTAGGATTACCACCTTGTAATGATGATGTACACTGAACGGCAATATACGTACCAGGTCGGTTCAATAGGTTCACACTGTGACTTCACGATAACGCTACTATTCAAGANAGGTTATCGATCAATTGATTATTAATCGATTAATCGAATAATTAGACCTACCTCATTTATCGGCTATTTACAATATCTTTAGGCAATGTATCTATAAGGAAATACTGGATGCGCACTAATTCTGTTTGAAAATTGCATTTTCACGAATTGAATTTCCTCCATTACGTAGGCACTCCATCCATTCAACGAAAATGTAAAGATTTGAATAAAATCGTTAGGTTTGATAGTCAGGCAGTTTCAATTTCCAGAGCAATTTGTTTATTGATTCTTTTACCTGCTAGCTGTTCTCAATAAAATGGTTCGCTGTTTTTATGATTGAGTTTACTGACGCAATGATTTTGTTGCAGGGGATTCGGTAAACAAGGGTTCCAGTGCCAAGGTAAGCTACCGTTTTATTGTACAACCGTAAATTATATTGATAATTAAATTGGTTGACGTATTTAGGTATTTGCAACGTTCGGTATCAAGACTCCCAACGAACCCTGTAAACATTGTAGGCATTAAAATCAAAAAGCTTCACTGACCATAAGCAAAAAATTGACCACGACTTGCTATGGTCTTCTCGAATTCATATACAACGTAAACTTGTGTCATGGAACTATCGATATTATATAAGGAGAATGAACTCATATGGGAAAGTTAATAACATTCTCCTGTCTAAAAATTTTCTCAAATAAGAACACGTTAATTTTCCGTAGGAACCGACGCGACTCAAGACGTAATGTAATAGTATTTATCGCAAATAAATGTAGTCCAAGATTTCAGAGCCCTCAGGCATTACTTATTTTCTGAGTAACAAAATTGGTGGGATAGAGAATAATGCTTCCCATCGGCGGTAATTTCTACCAGACGCTTAAAAGTTCGCAAAAACAAACAGGTGCAACTCAGTTACATGAAAGAAGTGCAACTTCTTTGCCAATCTCTATACCTTTATGTCGAATAAGTAATAATAGTTAAGGATATAGGTTGTTGTAGTTTTAGGGAAATGCGNAAACAAACAGGTGCAACTCAGTTACATGAAAGAAGTGCAACTTCTTTGCCAATCTCTATACCTTTATGTCGAATAAGTAATGATTGGTGAAAGAGAGAGTACGACAATTTTCAGGATTTTGATTGTGAAATAGTTCTTTATGTATCATGTTTAAAATGAAAACTCAGATTATAAGTAAAATTACTACATTAGTTTCGGGACTTTTCGATCTATATGACATATTTGTGGTTTGCTTGCATAGCTCATTTCAACGAAATCTCACAATCATAGGCAGAAAAACTAAAAAACAAATTTGTCTTGCTTTTTAATTGTTATATCTTCTATTTTCTTAATTTAACAGAAAAAAGGTAAACGACAGGAAATATTATTTAATTCCGCAGACTCGCAAATTTTATTTTTGTTTAAAAATCTCAGGACGCCGAAGAGAGATGAAAACCCTACTGGGAAAAAATTGATACGTAGATTCAATCACAAGTTGAAAGCACTTAACGTTTTGTAAACAAGCATACAAGAAAGCAATGAATACCGTTTTAGTATTCAAACGAATTCCTGGCAGAGAACGTATTTTCATTTTCTTCGAAAATTTCGCTTGAAGCTGTTTCAATAGTTGATCATCCATTACCGGGCAAAAGCTTTACGCTGTGCAAACAATGCAAACAGAAAAAAAAACGGTTAGGTCAATAATAATGTATGATGAGGATTTGAGGATAACACTAAACGAAGTGAACTTTTCCAATGCTTCAACAAAGGATACTGGGTGGCACTTGGCTAAGGATGTATGACAGGAGTAGGTATATGTATTTCGCAGTCAACGAAAACAGTACATAATAAAGAGAGGATAGCGCAGGGTCGAGTCGCCTTCAATAAAAAGAAGTCACTTCTATGCTCGCGAACGGTTAATTTAGAAATTTGAAAAAGATTGTTAAAGGTGTATGTTTGGAGCACGGCGCTGTATGGGTGCGAAACATGGACAGTGGACGTGGCGGAAAAGAAAAAGAGTTAGAAGCGTTCGAAATGTGGTGTTACAGACGAATGATGATGATACTGTGGATAGAAAAGGTTACAAATTAAGAGGTATTAGAAATAGTAGGAAAACAGAGGACTCTATGGAAGTCGATAAAAAATAGGCGAGATAGGTTAGCAGGACACCTTCTCAGGCATGAAGATCTAGTCAGAGACATATTAGAGCCAGAAGCGGAAGTTAGGAGGGTAGAGGTGGACCTAGATTAGATTACAGTTCGCAGATAGTTAAGGATATGTGTTGTTCTAGTTTTAAGGAAATGCGAAAGGAAATAGTGGAGGTACGTGTCCAGCCAGCCTTAGGATTACCACCTTGTAATGATGATGTACACTGAACGGCAATATACGTACCAGGTCGGTTCAATAGGTTCACACTGTGACTTCACGATAACGCTACTATTCAAGATAAGCCAGCTTAGCAGGGCGATGAAGTGGTGGGTGTATCGGCAAGAGAAAATTAAATTTTTAATAATTTCAAGGGTTTCTGTATACCAATACCAATAGTATTAAGTTGTAATATGTGTGTAGCTTTTGAATAACACGTAGAACTTTACGGAAAAGGTCTCCCTGTGTAGGTTCGTTAGATAATAAATTAGTTGGCTTTACATAACAGAGTTACAATTACGTTTGCCAAGCAGACCCTAAAACTGGCAAACTACACCCTTTAGTAATTAACAACACAATACAATTCGAAAGTATGGAAAATCCTCCCACTTCTCTATAAAGAAAGTTCATTTTACATTGTAATTTATAAAATGTAATGAATTTCTTAGTAGGTAACTATTGTTTTTTTTTATTTAAACGGATATTATACATATAATACTAATTTATTTTACACATTATTTAACATATTTAACACTTCAAACACTGAACTTGCAATATTATATCACCTGCACTTATCGACTAGATTAGTATGCTTAGATTTTCAGATGATATAGCAGTATTAGTCTCCAACAATGAGGAGCTAGAGATAACTTTAAATAAAATGGAAGCGGTATTGACAAAATAGTACTGTAAGAAAATAAATAAAACTAAAATCAATATACTGGTATGGAAGGGAAGAAAAGGTGGGGAAAGTATAAAGCTAGGAGACGATAAATTAGAAGAAGTGGCCGAGTTTAGGTATCTAGGAAGTCAGATAAGTCAGGACGGAAAGAGTAGTAGGGATATAAAGCAGAGGATAGCGCACGGTGGACTCGTCTTCAATAAAAAGAAGTCACTTCTATGCTCGGTTAATTTAGAAATTTGAAAAAGATTGTTAAAGGTGTATGTTTGGAGCACGGCGCTGTATGGGTGCGAAACATGGACAGTGGACGTGGCGGAAAAGAAAAAGAGTTAGAAGCGTTCGAAATGTGGTGTTACAGACGAATGATGATGATACTGTGGATAGAAAAGGTTACAAATTAAGAGGTATTAGAAATAGTAGGAAAACAGAGGACTCTATGGAAGTCGATAAAAAATAGGCGAGATAGGTTAGCAGGACACCTTCTCAGGCATGAAGATCTAGTCAGAGACATATTAGAGCCAGAAGCGGAAGTTAGGAGGGTAGAGGTGGACCTAGATTAGATTACAGTTCGCAGATAGTTAAGGATATGTGTTGTTCTAGTTTTAAGGAAATGCGAAAGGAAATAGTGGAGGTACGTGTCCAGCCAGCCTTAGGATTACCACCTTGTAATGATGATGTACGAGGGTGGATTGATAAGTTTCCGGCCTAACCAAGAGATGACGCCACTAGGCCTACCTTGAGGTGACATTCTATAGTACCATCCTTGGATAGCTTGTAGCTATAGTTTCAGCCCGATCTCCTTGCTAGTGTAGGTTTGACAGCACGCTGAACAAGACGCCTCTGTGGTTTTCGTAAAAATGG